ACGTTCATAACTTCCTTCGCGACCAACTTTTTGCAGATCTCTAAAGCTAATTGGAAACTCGAGAGTTATTGCCTTCGAAAACTGTCAGAACTTTTTTGAAAGTTCCCTTTTTCAAAAAATAGTCTTGGTGTGACCTTTTTCGGAGTTTCTGGTCGGATTTTTGAGAACACACGAGTTTTCAATGCTCAAGCGCTCATAACTGCCTTCGCGTTCAACTTTTTATAGGTCTCCAAGGACCTATAAGAGACTAAGAGATTAACCATAAAACCTTCACTTTATAAACTGTGCTGGAATCTCTTGAAGAGCTTTGAAATGAAAGCCTTTCTTACACCAGGGATTTTTAAAACTCTAGAAGTGCGTCCGCTAAATTTGTTGCACATTCCTAATTTGGTATGAACCATCCGAATCCTCTGCGAAAATCAATGTTCAGTCAATTATGAAGTGTTTTGGTGAACTCGTGTTCTGAAATGCGCCATGTACTCGTCTGCGCTTAGTAGTAGTCCAGTGGCATTTGAAAATATTAACCCTTTGCTACTTGTCATGCTTTGAGACCTTCGAACTCTGTGACTGGTCCTTGAGCTTACGACCCCCTACCATTTTCCGAATATAACCCCCTCGTTGAACTGAGCAGTTGACCGTGCTTGTAACCCTTGTGCCATCTAACTGCATGAAAGTGTACGCACCAGCGCTTACAAAAACACCCTTTTGGTCGTGGCCGAGATGCTCGACCTTGGAAAGGAGACTGCCAAGCACTTTCATCCAAAGAAGTACCTATCTAAATCATCTACAGTGCAGCTGTCCCCAAAGATGCAGTACACACTGCCTTGAAAACAACCACTTATTCACTCCGTTTTTACAGCAGCTTTCAGCGCTTCGTTTGAGCAGCCATTCACAATCAATTAATTAGTTAGCCTCTGAGCCTGGTACCAGGAGGCTCTAGGACATAACACGCAATAAAATGCGAATGGATAAAAAATATCGTGCGTCGTGTTTATCAACATGGAAAAACGTACCGCCAACTCGTAGGTCCATGTTGGAAGTTGTACATCCATTAACTTGAAAAGTAGCCGGCCCTAGTAGAAGATATGAAAACTAAGGATGAAAGCACACACGCTGCTATCAAAGCTTTTTGAAAGATATGTCACGATGAACACGGTTCCCATTTTGAATCACCTGGTATGGATGTACACGGTCCGCAAATTACGGACACCCAAAAATTGCGGACTTGACTACAGACTGATTACTTTGAATCCTGATTGCGGATTTCTAACGCAATCATTTTCGATGCATCGCCTGGAGTCTCTAAAAGAAGCGTCCAACGTGGCTCTCAGGCAGATGTCCTCAAGTTCACCTCGGACCATTCCGAGATCCTGAGAACCTCGTCGGCTGCGCCGACATACCGTAAAATATCATAGTAAGTTACACCCGCAGCCGGCTTAGAAAAAGCTTCCAGTTCCGCCCACTTGCCCGCGATAGTAACACGCCAGATCAAGCAAAAGCAGCTTGAAGCTACCGCAACTTGCTGCTGAGCGGTTTGATGCATGCACTCTCTAATCATAAGGACAAAGCGGAAGTTTTCGCCTGCACTTTTGAAAAGGCATATGTTCAGAGCGCATCACAAGATTAAACTGATCTCTCCGGGCTAGACATGTTTCATGTTACGACTGATTCCGTGTGGGTTCAAGCTGATGACCTGCTCTCGCTGGCCTTAGTCCTGTTCCCTAACTCCTGATGAAGTACCGTTACATTTTATTAAGAACGTCGCTCATGTCATCGTTGGACCGCTTCAATATATTTTTAATCTTAGTTTCATGAGAGCAGAAGTATCGTTAAGATGGAAAAATGGCCTACGTAACTCGTAACTAATGAAAAATTCTGAAGAAAAAAATTGGAGCGCATATAAGGGAACAGACCACAATTTCACCGTTTCAGCACGGTCGAATTATATAGTATTGATAGCATATAGCATAGATATTTTATCTTCGCCTTGAAAAAGATTCACCTGGTCGACCAGCCATCCCAGACGGTCATCTTTCACCAACGGCTCTCAGGTTGTTTTTCGGCGCTGTTTGAGTGTGGCGGTTCGTTCCTGTCAAAAACGCATTAGCTCTTACACTCCGTACTCTTTGATTGGTTGGATTTATGAGGGTGGCTGCCAGTGGCGGTGCTGACACCTCGCCCAGCCTCCTGCCCTCATCTCCCTAATGCTGCTCGTTTTTACCCTCGTCTTTAGACTGATCCTTTCAAGTAGGAATATCCATTATTTACACTCGTTTTTTCCCCGAAACGATCACAGATGAAGGCTTTCAGGTGCTGAGCCCCATCTTTCCATTCTCCCAGCAACAAATCCACTACAGAAACCGTCTGGGCAGCAGGTACCTCTATTATGTACAGTTGAAGGAGCTTCCGAGGACACCCGTCCCGGTATAATTTGGAGCAAACACGGCGGACTTGACAGGCAAGCGTATAAATACATTTGAAATCCAAAAAGCCTCTATGTAACAGAAGTGACAAGTATTTCATAAATCCACCGGAATTATTTATAGAACTGGTAATGCGGAAGTAAAGTCACTTGATCATCACACTATGAGCCTTCTCATCAAGAATGCTACCGCCGAAGATTCCGGTGTATACACCTGTCAAGCGCAGCTTGGAAATCATTTACTGTCTCAAACAGTAGACGTCATCATTTTCGGTAAAATAAAGAGACTTGACAATATTTTGTACTAGTTATTATTATACTGTAATTTGTGCGATTGTTTTTTGCAATTTGTTTTTACATTTCAGAGAACTTCACTTTTCGCTTCTAAGAAAACTGCGGTTGGGCCTGTCAGGCCTGGTGGTGCGGCGAACCTCAGCTGTGAGGTTCGTACGAGTTATTTATAGGGTCACTTGGATTCATTGAAGTAACGTCATTTCCAGGTTTCACCAGCATCCGTGAAAGTTCGTACGGTATGGACACGAGAAGGAGTGGCCATAGATCAAGGTAACTGTTGTAGTGCATATGGATCTGAAAGAACTTTGGCTAGGTTTCTCATAGGAACAAAACCAAAGCAAAGCCCACCCCCTACCCCTCTAATTCCCATCGGCGTGCTGAGGCATTGTTCCCATTTTGTTTGATAGCGTTAGTATGAGTACTCGTTATGCATAAATTGTGGACGGACATTTTTGACACATTCTTTTACCTGGCCAAACAGCTATTTTTGAAATGGAACGCTGTAGAAACCAGGAATAGCATAATAGCCAAGTTGTGTC